TGCCCACAGCAGGGGGGTTGGACTAGATGACCTTTAAAGGTCTCTTCCAACCCAAACCATTCTGTGATTTTATGATTTCACTTGGAGCTGACCCCTCCACCCTCATTAATTACAAGAAGAAAATCCCAGGTGCCACAGAAGCTCGGGGGGTCAAGATCACGAGCGCAGGGCGAGCACCGTGCACTGCCTGCACCGAGCTCTGCCTGGGGCTGCTCAGGAGCACCTAGGGGACCTGCCCGGCTCGGCCACTGCGACGGGGTCCGTGGGAGGACAGCAGACACCGTGGTGCAATGCAAAGCTCCTGGCAAGGAGTCAGAGTGCTCTTGTGGGGATCTCTGCAGCACCGGCACCAGGGAGCGCGGGCTGCAGTGGCTTTTGCCTTGGTCCTGACTTAACAGACAGCATTTAACTGCATTGCAGGGGAGCGGACAGCCCCAAACTCGGTGGGGTGAGGGAAGGGGACAGTTTCCAACCACAGGACATGGTATGGGCTAAGCCTTAGACAGGACACACTTCCCCAGACAGCGTTTTAACACACAGTATTTCTCCTTGAGATTGCCAAGCACTAAAGCAGGCTGCAAATTCCCTTCCAACCTCTGCACCAGGCACCACTTTGGGAACAAAGCTGATACAAAACATGTAGGCAGGTAGATTAGCCTTCCCATAATCATCAAAATAGCCCTGCAATCTACAGAAGCAACGCCAGGACAGAAAAGCGGTGCCAGATGCCGTTTGTAAGAACAGGGGGTGTTATGGCCCCGTCCCTGTGCAGCATCCTCACTGAAAGCAACACCCCTCTGCCTCTCGGGATGCATTAGAGCATGGATGCAGTAGATGATAATTTTGACTTTTCCCCCCACCACCAACCAGAAACACTCCTAACACAAGCAATCATCACAGAAGGAGAACAAAGGAATGGGGAACCGATGACTTTTTAAGCTTGCAAGCAGTGGCTTGTCAGGAATACAAGGAATGATTTAAATCTTGATCTTGTTTCCAGTGAAGGAAGATTTCTTCCACCACCCTGACAAGGAGGAAAAGCCAACTGTGAGTAATGGGACCGTAGACATGTATTAACGCTGCTGCTAGCAAAGCACATGTCTTTCCAAAGGCAAAAATCACTCCATCAGAATGACGAGCAATAAGAGAGGAGAGAGCACGGCCCAGCAAAAGCCAAGATGCAGAGCGTAAGACCATCAAAACATATGGAAAAGAAAAATCCCATTGAATTTTGTAGAAAGGACTCCCCTCCCCAAAGGAGGGGGCAGCACGCAGGAACCCAGGGTACGGACACGTGGAGGACAAATTCCCCTGAAAGCCCCGTATCAGCAGATTCACTTCCCAGCGCGAGGCTGTGCTTTGCATCGTGGTGATTTACAGAAATTAAGCAGGAACAGCTTTCTGTTGATGTCTCCGGCCCTGGGTTTCCCTGAGCTCAGCTTCGCACCCCTCGCCTTGTCCTGTGCAAAACTGCAGTGCTGCAGCGATGGGGAAACGCTCATGAGAGTGGCCGAGACAGGCAGGAAAAGCGATCACCTGAGTATCTCCTGCTCTTCAAACCAGCAAGCTTGGAACGCCCAGGTCCTGTTAACAGGGATTACTCCCACAAGTAAAGACAGGTTTTTACATGTGGCCATATACTCTTTGGTCTGCACTCGGTATCTTGTTTCAAGCCAAGGTGGCATCTCTAAAGCAGAGTTTGCTGCTTCTCCTCACAAACACACTGTCCAGGGAGCCACGGTGGCATTTTTTCCCTCCCACCTGAAGGAGTAGAGTCCTTTGTGAAGGACATAATCCACTCAGCTGGGCAAACTCCCTTACAGAGCACTAATATTTAGTGCAGCCGAGGAGGGACTACGCCTGCTCCCTGTGTCCGAGGCACCAATTCCTTTGACTCTGACCATCATCTTCCCACCATCCCTCTTACCTCTGTCTAGAAATTACCACTTTTATCAGCACCAGACCGATCACCCGAAGCATCTCTCTGGTCTTTCTCCGCTGTTAAATTGAGCTTGTGAGCAATGCCAGGACTCCCGCCCTTCGGTGATGGTTTTTCAGAAGGGATGGATAAATACCGGGATGGGAACACCTAGAGAGGGTCCGAGGGAAGGGCGATGACAGAGCCTGGGCTCCAGCTCTGCAGCACTGCCTCCGAGAGTTTCTGCCTGCTATCACTGCATCCCTACCCGATCCACACCTCCATTGCTCTCCGCTCAGATAATTACCAGTGAGAAGCACTATCATCTTAGCTTCTGTGGTGCTTCGAGCATTTGAGCTGAACACAGCAAAAATCAAACAAGATTATAGGTGCTTTCTACCTTTTTTTTTTCCCCCTTGCTGAAAGACCGTAATTCACAGCTCAAGCGACTCCTGCCACGTGTCACTGCAGACTGGCAGGGTTATGTTATTATTTGGTTCTCCTGCAGGAAGTGGGATAACTGTACTATTCCTTTATCAGAGAAAAACACCTATCTTTGGGCCAAGTGTTTCTTAAAGATAACATCATACAATTCTCTTGATTTCATCACGCCAATGTATTTGCAACTGCTGATAAATACGAACAAGAACCTTAATGAGATCCTTTAATGAAAAGCTGTCAGCAAATTAGACTGCTGTGTCTGTCCAAGTGTGCAGTAATTGTTCTGCCTTAAAAAACACGATGCCCCATTTGTTAACATGTCCAAGGTACTACTCAAGAGAGCGAGGGAGGGAATAAATGCCACAGAAAGCAAAAATTGATCAAAAATAATAAAGCATAGCTAAGCCTAGAGTCAGGCCCAATTCCGTAAATCCATCGCTGCCACCGCTGTGTGACAGAAACCCTGAGAAATCGAGAATTGAGCCTTTGCTGTCCGGAGCACACTGGGATAGGAAGGAAGAGCCAGAGCTGGTTTCCAAAGTAAGACATTTTCAAAAACAACCAGACTGCCTACATACATTCATATAAAATGGAGAATTTTACCTCCTAAAAGAAGCCAAATTCACCAATCTGAAAAGAATAATAAGTTTCAGGAATTCAGAGATACACTTTAAAGAGAAACATGGGAAAGAAAATTGGGAACTAAAAGCCAGTAATGAAGACAACACTGGTTTAAACTCATCCCATCCAGAAGAAGTGAAAGCAGTTCTAAAAACACACAAAATGAAAATAAAAGTCAGAAAAGAGATATTAGGGGCAGCAAGGAATACAAATTAGAAAGTTCTCAAGGGACAGAGAAGGACACACAGGAAGCCTGGAGCTCATGGAGGTAAGAAAAATAAACCGAGTTTTAAACATCATCCAAAAGCAAGTGGAAAACTGGAAGCCCAGCACCACGACCGGCTGCTGGCAGGAGCACTGGCCACAGCTGGGCAGAAAGTCCAACACTGAGGCTCAGCACTGCTGTCTGGGC